TTTTTTTTTTTTCCTTGCGTTATGCGGGCCTCTCACTGTTGTGGCCTCTCCCATTTGCGGAGCACAGGCTCCGGACGCGCAGGCTCAGCGGCCATGGCTCACGGGCCCAGCCGCTCCGCGGCATGTGGGATCTTCCCGAAACGGGGCACGAACCCGCGTCTCCTGCATCGGCAGGCGGACTCTCAAGCACTGCGCCACCAGGGAAGCCCCCGAGGGAGATTTTTTAAATGGAAATGGTCCACATGAATTCCACGACATTCCGTTAGCTGTATATCAGTTGCATCATCCTTTTTAGATGAACAGGGGACTGATAAATGTTGTCTTCCTATGTGTCCAGAAGAAAAATGAAAGTTTGGTCACTATTTGTCCGAAGGGTGTAAGCATTTTTGCAGATCTTAATGCGTTTGGTCTGCTGCTCACTAATTGGTTTTATCACTAGTAATATATGACAGTGCCAGAGTACTTCACATTTTTGATAGGTTTCTATATAATTAGTTCTTGGTTATTATCTTGGTTAGAACTTCTGTGTCCTTCCTTGCTCCATTGTTATCTCTGATAATAGTTACTAATATTGAACTTGGTACATTTTAGGTATTTGGTAAATGATAGCAATTATTATTGCAATTGTAATGTTAACAAGCATAATCGTAGTTTCCAAAAAGAGTAGTCATGGGACTGGTTGATGACCATGATGTTGAAAACTTGTCTAAGAGGGGACTTCCCTGGTGGTCCAGTGGGTGAGACTCCATTCTCCCAATGCAGGGGGCCCGGGTTTGATCCCTGGTTGGGGAACTAGATCCAGCATGCATGCTTCAATTAAGAAGTCCGCATGCCCCAACAAAGATCCCGCATGCCACAGCTAAGACCCTGCGCAGCCAAAATAAATAAATAAAAATATTAAAAAAGGGAAAAAAACTTGTCTAAGAGATACGATGAAAGCAAAGTGATTTTTTTTCCTGTTTTTTTTTTTTTTGTCTTCTTCTCTAGCTCTGTTTATTTCTTGAGCTTAGAAGTTATTAAGGACTGTTTCTTGAAGTTATTTCAATAAAATGAAATGTTAACACAGGGAATAGTTGGTTTCAGACCACATGGAAGTCCTGTGTCTAGTAGTGGTATTGAGTCTGTCACTAACCGGCAAGCCCTTTGGCTAGGGCATTTAGTTCCTCTTGCGTGCCGTTAGCTAATTTATCTCTAAAATGAGAGGATTGATGACTCCTGAGACTTCCTACTGCTCTAAAATGTCATGGTTGAATGAAGTCTATTATGTCTTCTTTTTGGGCCCACATGTTATGCTCTATAACTTGTAACTACCATAGGAGGAGCCAGGAAGCTCTTTCCTTAGTAAACTAATTAATACCACCTTATGTTCTTGGACCTGTGATGATAAACATGAATATTCATTGCATGATCATTATGTGGCCCTTGGTGTAGGATGACCACGATGGAAGGCCTCTGGGCTTTTCTTACAAAGCCACCTGTACCACCTGTCTAGTGGCATCATTTCTCAGTTTCAAAAGAAGGTTTTTTTTAAAAAAAAATTTTTTTTTTAAGGTGCTGGGGGTAGGAGTTTATTAATTAATTAATTTATTTTTGCTGTGTTGGGTCTTCGTTTCTGTGCGAGGGCTTTCTCTAGTTGTGGCAAGCGGGGGCCACTCTTCATCGCGGTGCGCGGGCCTCTCACTATCGCGGCCTCTCTTGTTGTGGAGCACAGGCTCCTGACGCGCAGGCTCAGCAGCCATGGCTCACGGGCCCAGCTGCTCCGCGGCATGTGGGATCTTCCCAGACTGGGATACGAACCTATGTCCTCTGCATTGGCAGGCGGACTCTCAACCACTGCGCCACGAGGGAAGCCCCGAAAAGAAGGTTTTTTTTTAAATTAGAAGAATATCTGAAATGCTGGTTTCTAAGTTATTCTTTTACTTCAGCTGAATTCACAGGAGAGCATAAGAAGTTACGTGTGAGTTTTTTTGATTTTTGACATTTTTTTAATGCTCTTAGGAGATGGTCTATTTTTCAGATAGTTCAAATCG